AAAAAAAAAAGTGTTGCTTGGCTGTTGTAATGAATTACCTTGATCACTGAGTTTTTACATAAAAAATAGAAGCACCACAATTGTTAAATTAATCTGCTAGAAATCAGGTTTTAAAATTGAATGAGACCGATTCTCCCAGATACTCTTGAGAGTTGTTTTATTGAAGTATAGAAATGATTATGTGAAGGAAACTTCACTCTTGTGGCTTTAAGAATGAATTACAGTTTCTATTCAAATAATGTATTCATGAAGAATTGTTCACTAAGAAAAATTTACTCTGTATGTAATTTAAAAATAATAAAAATCTTGTTGGTTTGTTAATTTTCACTTGGATGGCTCACTTATTGTTGTCTTCCCCTGTGTTCTAGAAAGGTATACATGAGTGGAATTTCAGTGCTTCTTCTGTCAGGGGAGTGAGGTAAGTGTCTTTGGTATATTTTGCTTACTTCAAAGACTTTTTGGGAATCTGTCTTGGATAGGGCCTTTAATCATGTTTTAAAAATGCAAAGAACTTTAAGAATCTTCCTATTGATGGAAATGCTCAGTAGATATTGAGCAGTATTGAAATGTTTCTTCAGTCTCACTAACTCCATTATGAAAAGATTGACGATAAAACTATCACTATTAGGCAAACTGACTCTGCTTGTCACCTACTTCAGATATGGCGACTGAAGGGTAAACTGAAGATCTGTGCCTGGTGTAGATAATACTGAGCTATATAGAATCCCCTGTGTGTGGGGGACTGGTTGAGCTGCTTTATGTTAAAGGATGGTTTTCTGGTCTTTAGGAACCAGAAACTCATCAGGAGCTAATCTCTCTTTAGATAGGTCCAGAACACACTTGCCATCTATCAGGCTGTACCTCATAGTTGGTGTTAACTTGGTGAAATTATAGGGAATTCACTTTTTAAAAACTTTTCCTAAGGTCACTATTGATGAAGTGTTCTTGAAATGACAGTGACTCACTTTGGTGCCCTTCAGTTCTGAAAGTGCCATCATAATGCCAGGAAATACCAATTCTTGGGATTTAGAAATATTTTTTCAGAATCAGGAGTCACTGGCTAGGTGTCTAAATACTTGTTCTCTAGAGAGAAACTCATGCTAAATCAGCTATTGCAAACTTCAAACCAAACTAGTTGTATTTGCTACTATATATCCCTCACATAATAGAAATGATAAAACACATATTTTTCAGGTCACTTATGCAATACCTTGTTGGTTTTTGGCATAAAAGTATTTGGTTTTGTTAGAGCATGAACTGGTAGAGCTGTTTGAGTCATTGGTAATTGGAGTTTGCCTGGTAAAACCACCTGTTACCTCATGAGTGAACAGAAATAAGCAAGATTATGGCTGACTCATCTATGTATGTTCCAATTGATGCCTTCTCAAAAAAACTTTACTCTCTCAATATATAATTTTCAAGACCAGTCACTACCAAGACATTCATTTATTGTTGCATTTTTAAGCAGTTCATTTCTCTTTATTGTATCTATTTTCCAGTGAATTGATTTATTTTAGTTAGGTATGACATCACTACTTAACCTTTGCTGTGATTCATGACAGATGCATAGAAGGCTTTACGCGGCTGCTAATGATTTTTATGTTGGAACACTTGAGTGACATAAAATTAGCTCTTCAAAAATTAACTTTTCTTGCCTTCCTCCTCTATAAAGATACGGCAAACTAAGAAAATTCCAATAAGGCACTATTTGTCTTGCATCAGCTCAGAATTTACTCAGCTTGGTCAACAGGCAAATGTTGAGTACCAGCTCAACTCAAATGTTGAGTCTTTTAAAGGATACAAAATGACTAAGATGTGCCCTCCACTCCCAAAGAGCTCTCAGCCTGCCAGGGGAAAAGACATTTTAACAACTAATGACAACAGCGTCACTGTGAGATGAGCAATCACAGGAGTTAATTCAAAGGATAGAGGCGGAACCGGAAGTCTTTTTTGTTTAAGGCAGAAGTAGGGAAGGGCTGTCCGGTAAGGCCTAAATTGGACTTTAAATGATGAATAAAGTGTCTTTTAAAAGTCCAAAAGATAAGCATTCCAAATGGAAGGAACAGCAGTAAGTGGCATTAAATGGACCTTGGCATGACAGCCCTCGGGCCACATCTGTCCCACTGTCTGTGTTTGTAAATAAAATTGTATTGGAATTCAGCCATATTCATTCATTGGTGTATTAGTCAGCTGCTCCAATTCCAAAACTAAGTAGTGTGACTTACAAAGCCTGAAATACTTACTCTCTTGCCTGTTCCAGACTATTTGTCATCTTTAGACATTAGACAGTCTGGCCTGACTGGCAAACTTAATACTATGCAGTATGCAGTAAACCAGCTATGCAGTAAACCACTTGCTGCATCCAAACCAAGTGCTGTTGAACATTTCTTCCTTCCTCTGAAGTTTCTACAGTGAATGGGATGCTTTTCTTACCTCTACAATTGCCTTCCTGGCTTTGAAATCTCTCATTGTTTTAGAAGTCCCATAAAATCACAATCACTTCAGTCAGTCAGTCAGTGGGTCTTTATGCTTTCCTTTCCAATACATAGTTTCTAGTTCTTGTAGGTAGGACATCTTTCCCAGGCTCAGCTAACGAACAGTGACCTTACAGTACTCAAGAGTAACCCCATCTGCTGATAAGAGTAGGGCAGTTCTTAGAAGAGTGGATAACTTCAGTATGTGGTACTGGGAATATCACTTTCTTAACATGCTATTTATAACTTTTTGTTGTAGACAAACATAATTGGGATTGGATTTGAAAAGCATTTATTTTTCCTTACAGATCCATAGAAGTATTGGTATTTGCTAGATTGATTCTTTTTGTTGTTTGTTCCAGTATTTCTAAATTTGAAGAACGATGCTGTTTCCTTTATGTGCTTCACAACTCTGATGATTTCCAAATCTATTTCTGTACAGAACTTCATTGTAAAAAGTACGTATTAGTCATTGTTTATGTATAAAAGACTGTTCTTACCTGATCATTATTTTTAATTAATGAGTGATCATTTAGCTCCTCTAGAGAATTCATGGCTATGTGGTTATATAAATATCTCATTTCAGCTAATATTTTATAATTACGTGGTATGCTTAAGAGTCACAGAATTTGAGGGGCTCTCTTTAATAAATCTAACTTTTCCTTAGTCATAATTTATTTTTCCACAGACAGATCATTAACCATGACTTACCAGTTAATTGCCTAAAATTATGTCTCATTTTAAAAGTTCTCACTTATTGTATGATTATCAAAATTTTTCATTCTCCAATTCTTTTTGAATAAGCTTACTGCTATCTATATAACAGTGGTTCTTGACTGTGGTTCACCTTGGAATCAACTGATAGTCTTTTAAATAGTGCCAGGCTCTGCCTGAACAATTCTATTAAACTTCCTGGGGGAAAGTAAGTTCAGTGCCAGTGACCTTGTCTCCACCAATAAAAGATAATTCTGCCATCTGTAGACTGCATTGTACATTTGTGTTGACCTTGCTGAGTTTATTTCTCTTGGGGTTATAGGTAGGTAGCTTCAGCTCCTTTGAACACAGTACCTGATATAGAGACCTAGAGAGCTGAGAGACAACTTAGAAACCAAATTGCACATAAAAGTCAATTTGGGCTGAAAATATTGTTAGGAAGTTTTCTTATTCAAATTATCACCCATTAGAAATGGTTGGTAATGCTCACTACAATATACTGAAATTTTTATCTCAGAATGCCTTCTTGGTATTTGTTAAATCTGTTACTCTTGGCTAGAGCATTATCTTTATAAAATGTGTAGTAAAAAGACTTGAAAACAAGAAAGAAATCCTACTCCATATATGATCTTCTTTTCCACTTCACAAAATTATTGATTTGTGTTAATTATGAGTTAAATGTATGTACAAGTGGTTTTCCTGGATGTAAAAGTCTGTGTCTAAAGCTAAAATTTTGGGGATCAGTTCCTTTCTTCTTCCTCTTGCTTTCATCGCTAACTCATCATGATACTAAGCCTTCATCAGAGCATGACGGTTACTCCGCTCTACAGTAGTTTTTTCTTGTCACTGACCTCCAAAAATTGTGTAGAGAGAAAGGAAGAGTGAGGAAGTAGACAACAAATCCCAGCTCCATAAATAGACTGACTCCAAAATATTGTCTGTTTTATTATTATATTCTCAAAAGCCAGTGCAGTTTTGTTCTAGCAGACAATGAGTGTTTATTGGATACAAGGAAAGGTGAATGGATGGGAGGAAGGACCGAAAGAGGCCTGGACATGGCATGGAATATCTAAGTTGTTTTTGATAAACGTTCCTTGCCGGAACATACCCTGCTCTTTCCTTGAGCTGCCAGTGCCCTGTCAGTGAGGTCAGCAGCCCCGATCCCCAGCCCAGGCCTTCTATTTGAGTCTGTCAGTCATTAGTGTTGCCTCTAGATGGACTGGTTACAGCTAGTGTTGCAGGAGGAGATACTGTTTCTTGCTATAATTTATTTTTTTTTTTAGCTCTGAAATGGACTCCAGATAAATTAAAAATCTTTCAAGAAGACTTCCTGAAGAAAAGTTTTGTCACCCAAAGAGAGGTGACGTCTGTCACAAACATGTACTCTGGGTTTTCCTATCTCACATCAGCATCGTGCAGGCTGCATTTATGAGATCTCATGTGTATAATATGAGATACTCAGGCAAAAGATTTAATAATTAAAATTAAATGGTATAGTAGACAGCGCTGTATCAAATAATTTAGAGGCTATTCCAGACTAGAGGTATTTTCAGTAGTCACATTTTAAATATTAACAGCAGCAGAACAATAATAGCCAAGGTATTATGAGTGAACTGTGCTAAGCAATTTGCAAGTATTACCTCAAGTCATTTGCACAACCTGTGAAGTAGTGAAGTATATTTTATAATAAAGGGATGAGATTCAGAGAGATGGAGGAACTTGCCCTAAATCATACAAATATTAACAATCTTAGCATGATAACCAAGTCTACATTTATAATAATTCAGTGAATTTGTTTAGCTTCATCGTTTTAATTCTGCAATATATTATTTGAAATGAGGCATGTGATCAGAAATTTCTAGAGAATCTTACAGACTGGTATTTTTTCAAGTCATATTCTCACTGCTACTGATTACTGACTTATTTTATCTTTTATGAAAGTAACATTACAACATTGTTTGAGGTATTAAGAATAAACACATGTATATACTACATTCACTTAACTGTTTAAATTCCACCTCTATCCTTCACCATACAGTTCTCTCCCTTTCCACAGTTTACCCTCTACTCTTTTTGCCTTTCCTGCCACTAATTGGTATCACTAACTACTGATTGGTATTAATTGGTCCAAAAATTTATCTTCATTTTATGTAGTTCATCTGTTTGATTTCAGTATATACCAGGTATAAGTGAAATTATGTGGTGCTTGTTCTTCTCTGACTGGTTTGTTTCCCTCAAGTATAATTCCCTCTCATTCTATCCATATTGTTGAATATGGCAGGGTTTGTCTTTTTCGTAGCTGATTGGTATTCCATTGATTTTAGAGACCCTTAGCTTCTATTTTTTGCTCTGATGTACTTTGGAACATCCTTGCTTACATTTAAGTTTGCATGTAGAACAACACATTTAATTAGTACTTAGTAATGATGTATAGAATTAGCAGTGATGATGTACCAACTTTCACTGTAGGTTTTTTGAAATGGTGAACACCATTACTGAAGAGAAGGGGAAAAGCACAGAAGAAGGAGACTGTGATGGTGACTCCCTGGAGGTAATCAATTATGTTTCAGTGTTGAATTTACAAAATTTCTGTGACCAGTTTTTTTTTTTTTTTTGAAGTCAGGAATTTTATTAAAACTAAGCACTTTTGCCTGTGGGTCTTACACACATTTCAGATTTTATAAAGTAATTAGATTGCCCTTTTTACTTTAAACTTTTTTCCTTATTTCTTTTTTTTTTTTGAGGGCCCTGCTTTCTGCAGCTCTTCCTTTATCAGGTCCCAGTGATCTTTTTTATAGTCTAGTATGCCATAGTGTCAGGAAGAGGCTGCATTGTTCCCCTCTTCCTTTAGAACTTTTTTTTTTATTACAAAGTTTATTTTTACATCATTTTGCACATTTTTTTTTTCATCTCGATTGTGTGACCAGTTTTTTTAATTGAACTATTTTTTTTGGTCTCTAAAAGTGAGTGAGGTCCTGAAGAGTGAATTCTGTAATTTAAGAAACCCATGCAAGAGGCTGGCTTCATCTCAGAGGCTGCACTGTTAGACTTCATGGTGAATCTTCAGTTGCTTGTGCTTTTTTAAAATTAATTTATTTTCTTACAGCATTGCTCATTGTTGTACAGTGATTGGTTTCTCCCCTCAGATGTGTCTCTCTCGTTCTCCCCCCTCTAGGAGTGCCCTCAGTGCCTGCGTCTCAGTACCTCCACACATATTTCATCCTCCTCCTAATTACAAGCAATTCAGATACGCAATGTTTAATGAAAACATTGATAGAACTATTTTCGGCCCCATGTGTATGCTATGCAAAGAACCCAATTAATGGAATAAAGAGAGGAAGTAATGGTAATCATCAGAAAATGCTGTTCCTCCCAATCAAAATCCTTTCCTGGTGCCTCAGGTGTAACTGGATGCAACTTTTAGGTTGTGTCATTTTTTTTTTCTCAGATTTTCTGCATGAATTAGAGCCTCCACCACTGCCAGGGTCAATGCCAAGTGATGAGTTTCTAGAGTGTCTGAACAATGACACTTCTGCAGACATGACAGACTATGGTGTTCTCCAAGCTCTTGGGGCAGAATTCTGAATGCAAGCAATAGTGAAAATTACATTTTTAATGTTAAAAGTGAAACTGAACAAACTAGAGCACTAGTTGCACTGCTATAGGTCACCTTGATGATATCATTACATGCACTAAAAGTTTTATGAAAACACTGGTGGTGCAGCAAGTTAAAGCACAGCACTATAAAGCTAAAGTCACTTCAGTATGAGTTAGATCCCCACCCTGGAGGTGACCCACACGGCGGCAGATGCCTCCTGACCCACCCGCTGCTCCCCTCAGCAGTGTATTTTGATGATCAGCCTATTCTGCTTCCCATTCTGTCTCTGCTGATGTGTCTGACCACCCCTGCAACTCTGGTTTGCACCCCAGCTCTGTATGCACAAATAAATAAATCTTTAAGAAACAACAACAAAAATACCACTGATGTATACAGTAGAACAATCAATGGAAAATTTAAGTTCAGTAATTAATTATTAAATCTGCATGTATTTAATTTCTATAATTACTCAAGTCAAGATATCTTTACTGCTCCTAGCTAAGCCTCAGACTTTTCATTAGCTATAAAATGATGACTGTCCTAATTTGGAGGAAATTTTTTTTCTCTATGCATTAGCTTGTTGTTTATCACAGTGATAGAAAATTCTTCTTACTTGTATGTTTTATATCTTACAATTTTATGTTTTCTTATTCAAGTGGTTGTGTTGATTCCCACCTCAATGGTTACATTTCACTATGTCTGTTTTTACATGCTTTAAATTTTATATCCCTTGATACACAGCAGCTGATGGGGTAAACATTAACAAAGGCAAGTAAAATAAAACAGGTCCATTAGTAAATATAAAATCATGAAATGACAGACTGAAAAATTCTTCTGCAGTATCATCAGTTGCTGACTTTTTTAACCATTGTTACCTTTTCTTTCATACCTTTCCATAAGGAAAGGTATGAAAGAAAACATACAAAACATACAAAACATACAAAATAGCATAGCCATACTACTAATTGAATCAACTGTTCAGATACAGGCTCTACCATCTAGGTTTCTATGTCATTAACACTGAAAAAAAATCACTTAATGATGCACTTCTCATAATGTATCTACTGTTGTTAAGTGACACATGACTGTAAATAAGGAGGAAAATTCTCAGGTTTCTTTCTAGTAATTTTTCATAGTTCTGCTGACCCCACAAGAAAAAGTATATACAACAGTGCTCTGATTCAGCCAAGTGCTCTTAATATACCTTTCTCCATTAAGTGCAGAGATACTATTCTCTTAATATTAGAAAAACATTCTTACACTTCTATCTTTGCATTTCCTCAGAATAATCTAAACCTTCTACAATGTTCTTGTTGAACTGAAGCGCCAATAGAGTGAATACAGGCATACTTGCTTTAGGTATTTAACATAGTTTGCATTATGCCACAGCCAGTGATATCACTGGTGTGGTTTGTGAGGCAGAAAAGGGGCAAGAGTGGTCCTTAGGGATAGTATTAATGAAGGGATATAGTGATGTTCTGTACTGTGAGGCAGAGCTCTGTCTTGGCTATCTCTCAGTGAATGTCCCTTTTCTAACCAAAGCACCTTTATAGAATGAGCTATTAAATATAACTTGTATATTTGCAAAATGCACAATAGCTCCATTACATATTTGGTGACATTCCTTAGATGTTTTTTTATATGCATGCTGTTTTCTTTTTTATAATTTCTTTGTTTGAGTATGTTTTATATCAGATATCATCCCAAGAGAATTCCCCACCACCAATCCCCCCCGTGCACCACACCTCAGTCCCTTGTGCTCTTCCCACCCATGTTTTGTATCTTCTCCCTTTCAAAAGTCTCTGAACAATAGCTGTCTCTTTATTCTGTTTAGTTTTGTTTTATTGATTTTCTTAAATAGATATTATTTTTCCCTAACCCCTTATTTGATTTCTCCTATATTCCTCCTATAAGTGAAACCACCAATATTTTTCTTTTTCCATCTGACTTATTTCATTGAGCATAATCCCTTCTAACGCTGTCCATGTTGGCTGATTGACATTAGCTTATCTTTTTTTATTGCTCATTAGTATTCCATTGTATATATGTGCCACATCTTCTTGTTCCAGTCATGTATTTTTAGGCATCTGGGTTGTTTCCAAGCTCTAGCTAGTATAAATAGTGCTGCAATAAACATGGGGATGCATGCATCCTTTCGAATTAATGTTTCTGTGTCCTTTGGGTCGATTCCTAACAGTGGAATCCTGAGTTAAATGGCAGCTCCATTTTAGTAATCTGACGAACCTCCACGCAGCTTTCCATAGTGGTTGGACTAGTTTGCATTCCCACCACCAGTGTAGGAGAGTTCCTTTTTCTTCACACCCTCACCAGCATTTGTTGTTATTAGTTTTTTTAGTATGTGCCATTCTCACTGGTGTGAGGTGCTATCACATAGTGATTTCAATTTGCATTTCCCTGATTATGAGGGATGCTGAGCATTTTTTCATGTCTGTTGGCCATTTGCATTTCATCTTTGGAGATGTGTCTTTTGAGTTCTACTGACCATTTTTTTTATTGGATTATTTACTTTGCTTTTCTTGATATTTACTTTGCTTTTCTTGAGTCGTGTGAGTTCTTTGTATATCTTTGTGATCAGTCCTTTGTCAGTTGTGTGAAGTACAAAAGTTTTCTCCCAATCACAAGGGTGTCTCTTTGCTTTGGTGAATGTCTCCTTTGCTATACAAAAGCTTTTTAACTTGATGTAGTACCAGCTGTTTATCCCCTTAGGTATTTTTAAGTCTTTACTAAAACTAGTTTTTCAGTATACTATTCGATTGAAATGAGTTCTATAATTTCATTTCCATTAACTGAACTTGAACTTCAGTCTATGATTGCTATACCAAAAATAATTTCTCCACTTTCCATTAGAATATAAACAGAATTACTTTAGAATAATATTTGCACAATGGTTAAGATTTGTATGTAGAATAGTTATTTGCTGCTCTTTACCTCAATTGGAAATAGAATTTAAATTATTTTAATACATGTATCAATTATTCCTAAAACCTTCAAGTACCTTTGCCCAAACTAAAATAAAAAATGTTGGGAAGGTCAGATAGCCTTCAGGATTTATAAATTCACATAGGGTAGTGTCAGCACTCTATTCTGATTCTATAAACTACAAGTTTGAAGCTAATCCTGACTTCTGGGCATTCAGAGGACATATTCAGAGGCCAATATTAAGATTCATTTTCTGAATTGAATATTAAGGCTTCTTTGAAGTCGTAAAATTAGAGGAGAGATTCCCTTTGGGTCATGGTCAAACCCTCCAAGTGATTAAATCTGGTTCTAGTGAAATTCTGTGCTGGACACCAAAGGCATGGATGCTGCTTTAATTTGCCAGTGTAATCTGAACAAGGTTCACACCTGCTGGGCTACATGATTTCATGCCTTAGATAACAGTTAAACAAGAGGGTCTTTTTTTGTTTTAAATTAGTATATGTCCTCTTTTCAGATGAATAGTTTTTGAAGATTTAGTTTGTTTGTTTATGCATACAAGACCTGAGGTCTAGGGTAGAGTTGCTGGGGGTAGGGAGGGGCGGGGTGAGAGGATTCACAGAGACAGAGTGGGGAGCAGAACAGATGGATTAACTGAAATACACTGCTGAGAGGAGCAGCGAGCAAAATAGGAGAGGTCTGCTGCATCACGTGAGTCAGCTCCCTGCCTGGGTGGCAAACCCATGCAGCCATAGCTGAATTTTGCATGGTGCCCTGACCAGAAAGGTCTTAATTGTCCTTTCCTAACTGAAATTCTTCATAACTTTCAATTTTAGTACAAATTGTTACAAGGTTATTTCAAAGATAGCTCTAAACCACTTTCAGAGGACTTTTCTGCTTTTAAACAGAAAAAGAAACCTCTTATGATTAAAGACCATTTTTTTTAAAGAATTATTTATTTATGCATACATAATGGCAATACAGGCTAGAGGTGCAGGGGCAGTGAGAGGATTCAC